CTTTACTAAAATGTATATTATATTTTTTTCAATCTATTTCAATCGTCTAAATTCTTTAAAATATATATTTTCAGATTATTATTTGTTAAATATTCAAATTTATTTATTTTTTGATATAAAAGAAATATTTAGATATTATTATATTCGATCTTAAAATTATATAAAATAATATTTTCAAGATATTATCGTAATTATTAAATCTAATAACAAGTAGAATTTCTTATTATTTCTTCGAATAATAAAAATTAGACTGAATATAAAAAATATATCAATATATTTTTTTTCCAAAATAGAGATAATTAAAATATTATGATATTAAATAAATATTTGACAAATAATATGATAATTATTCTTTATTAATATTAAAGCTCATTATCGGAAATTATATATAATAGAAATTACATTGAATAAAGAATGATTTATAAAATCGAAATAATTTATTTTCTTTTTCTAATTGTCCTAATATTTTTGTGCATTTTTCTAGGCAATAATCAATTTTGAGTGAGCCGTGCTGTAGCTGGAAAACGAATTCAACCAACATCCGTGTCCATCCTAAAATTACATCAATCACTTCAAAAGAGCTTCTGAGTCGGGCAGGCTAAGTCCATCCATAGGTCGCCCCATGGAAGCCGCTCAAGATAGTATGCAAACGAAAGGACAAGGGGATGCTCACTATCATCGGGGCGGTTCCATCATCCACTTTACCTGAAATGCACGGGAGGCGGAGCCCTGTCGTGGCGAGCGTGGCTCGGTGGGAGTATTGAGTGGAGTCTGGACTGTTTTCTGCCTGCCAAGGCATTGAGACTCAATCCGAGTCGGAATCGTAGGCCGGAGTTGGCAGAACAACATCTGACAGATCCGTCCGCCACTGCTCCGTCCCCACCTCAACCATGACAAGTGCATGTGAGTGCCTCACTCTGCGAAAGAGACCAATCGGCTGTGCAACAGGCACCTCGAAGTTTGACATCGGTTCCGGGGTGGCTTGCATGTCGGCCTGTCTGCAATGGCTACATAAACTCGCACTGAATCCGCTGCGGTACTTACTAGCAACTTCCTCCGCGGGAACTCAACGCGTACCTGGGTTTGTCTAGCACCCCCGCCTTGTCCTGATTCTGCAACTCATTCAAAACGGTTGGGTGGTCAACTGTTTCCACGGGAGGAGGAAAGTCCGGACATAGTTGCGGATGCCTGGAGCAGCACCCAGAGAAGTCTGCAGCACGTTCATGCGCGCGGCTCTCAAATGGACCTCCGCACGGTAACATGCACTTTCCCACAGCACAGTGCTTGCCTCGCGCAGACTTCTCGGCGCTGCAACGCGTCCTCTTCTGGAGTCGGCTCTGCCTGACATTCAAAGGTCTGGTTCAGCTCGTGCTGAAGCCTTGTCTGGTTCTCACTGGTATGTTGCCTACATGCTCTGCTCCCTCGTCTTATGTCTACATGCTGAGCGGTGCATTAAAAAAGGAAAGACTCACCAAAGCGCTTGGAGCGATGCAAGGGGATATTGCCGAGGATGATCGTATCCGTAGCAAACGAAAAGCTCCTCAGCTTCGTGCGCGTTCTGCTTCTGCCTCTCCAAAACATCCACTAAACTCCGAGTGATCCACAGTTCTGGGCACAACAGGCTCGGAGATCGCGTCTCGGAAGTTGGAAATCCGAGTGGCGCTTCCTGCGCGGACCAGCTGCTGCGTGCAGAAGAACACGGCCTCAGCTTGACTCCGACAGATTTCGTTGGTGGCATATTCACCAAGACCTTGCGAAGAGCCAGCAATGCTTCGTTGATGCCCAGTAGTATACTGAAACTTAAGGAAGCCTAAACGAACCCTTAAGATGTCTAAGCAAGACCTTTGCGCCCTTAAACAAAACAGCAACAACTGGCGCCGGAGATCACCACTCAAAAGTCTCCTGAGGCTTTGGCAGGTGGAAGGCCAGCCCGCAGGCAGTATAGAGCCAGCGTGTTGTACCTTCACACACAAAGTTAGGCTCGATTGGGCTCGATTATGGGCTCGATTATCTCCGACTGGCATTGGTTGAATACTGACAGCCAAGACATGTTCTTCGGCGCCCAAAGCATTGGCTGCTGTCTTATTCAACCTTCTCGCGGGAGCACTCTCCATCTGGAGGTGCTTCGTTCGTGAAGGCCATAGACCTAGGTATGCAGCTGCTGAACAGGTGGAAGATGATACATGGGCTGTGAACTGCGTGGGCAGTCTGATTAACACCCACGGCAGCAGCATGCAAAACTACAGTGCGACCCTAGCCCAGGACCAAACTGGGCACGTGATAGGGGACAGCCCCCAGCTGTACGAACACAGAAAAGGATGTGTGGATGGCTGCTCCAATCGCAAGAATGCATTGCGGCACCGCTTTTGGTCCAAAGCCTCATGCTCCAAGTCTTGCATTTCGGCGCAAGCCGTTTAGGCGCTGTCGAATCCCCGCGTATCTGCAAGCACACAGCTTGGGAGACATGAAATGCTCATTGCGCCTTCCGTGCAAGAGATGCTCGGTCCGTTCGTGGCCATGTGCGCTCAGCTTTGGCACTCGTTAACCAGCCTGAACCTAACATCCAAAAGCAACTCCCAAAAGTGCTGCATGGTGAGCAGGATACAGACTACAAGGGCCGACAAAGATGAAACGGAGAACGAGGTTTAAGTTTCAAAGATGTCGGAGTCCTGCTTCGCAGCTCGGCGAGGCTGATGGTGCGCCGGCGGGCTTCCTGCAGCGGAGCCTGGCAGAAGTCTGGCACTGCGAATAGAATCTGGGTATAGGATGATGCTATTGCAGTTGTTTCAACATTGTGTGTGTGTGTGTACAAGGCTCAATACCGCACTTCAAGCACCCTCGACTCCGCTTTAGGCTGCACCGACTCTACATCTCCCGTAGTTGAGCCAGCTGCGCCTTCAGATCCACACTGGCCAGGAGGGCGGCAAGAAGAGCTGCAATCCTGCCGAGCACTGGAACTCCACATCCGGCCCAGTTTCGCGTCACAGCAGCTCGGAGCATCTCCGGCGTGCACGGCCAGCTTCACATTGGCTTTAAAGGCTTTAGAGCTCGGTCATGTGGACGCTCATCGCGCTGCCCGCCATGCGGCTGATCGTCGACTCGGAGAGACTCCCGAGGTGCCAATGATGCGGCTTGAAACCTGTCGGCAGCTTCACAGCACTGTGCCAGCGAGGATGTAAGTGGGTCTCGGTTGGCCAACCTTGGAGCAGCATCATCTCCTCGCCTCGGAGTACACGCTGCAACCTCGTAGGTAGCATAGCCAGTTCTGCAGTGCTGTTTGGGCGATCCTGCGCTTCAAGCTCATGTTGCCCTAAGAATCTCCCGGCCTGTAGGACCAAAGCCTGGTGTTGGCAGCCAGAGGAGGAATCTCTCCCGTGAAGCTCAAGGATGCTCGGTGTGCATCCTGTCAGTTCATTTCTTTCAGGTGTTCGAGACTTGAACCAACCACTGCCTTGGAGCTAAAAAACACAAGCAATGTCTTGCGCTCCTGTGAGATTGAGACAAAGCGGATCTCGCGCCCTTGGCTCCGCGCACGAAGCCAGTGTATCTGACACAGGTCCGCCTCCCTGTAGGTGCGGAGCCACCTGAGTATCGGATAGTAGTGGGGACTGCGAGTATCCCGCCCCCTGTCGTGAATCGTCAAGAGAATAGAGTAGTCGAGCTGGAACGAACCTTACAAGGACCTCCAGCCCAGAAAGCCGAACTCACATGAATTCACTCGCCCAAACACTTGGCCAGCTGTGGTCCTGCTTCCGAAAAGTAGGTCAGGTCATCGGCTGCAAGCCGAAGTTCGTGCCGGAGCCTTCTGTGCAAATAGCTGGCCTGCGTCTTGCTGGGCAACAGTAGGAATCACATGCAACTTCAGCCTTGCAGGTGGTCCATATGAGCCATGCGGCGTCGGACGTCATCGCCAGAAGCGACTCAATCCCTTTAGACTCCTCGTCGATGCTCGAGCTCGAGCTCCTCCGAGTGAGGTACGATGCCAGTGAGACCCAGCAAACCCATCTCCACCCTAGGCACCCTATAGGCCTGCGGTTCAATCCGAAAACACCCGCCCCTCGCGTTAGCACCCCTCGGTCCCGCTTGCATCGCTGGTGTCCGAATTCAGTCGGCCACCAAGGGTGGGTCCATCCAGCCGGCTCTCGCTGAGGCTGAGGAGGTCTTCTGCGTCCGGGCTCGGGCTGGAGTTGGCCTTGGAGAAGCTCAGAGATGCGCACTTGCACGACCAATGAAGCGTGTTTCCGCTTTTCATGATTCCCGGGCGGCAGCTAGCGCGAAATCGCGATGCGACCATTAGCTCTAGACTGCATGTTCCAAGCTGTTGCTTGCAGTCGGCTGCAAACTTGCCCATGCTACCCGCTGAACCCTCTTTGTCTTTAGCTGGGGCACCACGTGGACATGAAGTTGTTCAAGTCCTTCTCTGACTCGCTCAAGCTGAGCCTGTCCCGGCAGCAGACTTTGTTTTGTGAGAATCCGGTCAACGGCTGTGTTCAAGATGCATTCTGCAGTTTTGTATTCTGCAGGGCTTGGTGTTTACTTACGTACAGTTTCGAACAGACTCATGCCTTTCAGCATAAGGAACCGGATGGCATCCTTTCGGCACTCACTCAAACTCTAAGTCAAACATAGGCCCGACTCAGCCCTCCTCTATGTAAATGCAATCAGCAGTCTAGAGGCGCAGGAACTGTTGCGGATTCTGCTTGTCTGAACAGTACTTGATTTACATACTTCCGTTGCATGTTCCTGCTTGTGGTGATGCTTCGGCTGCTGTTCTGTTCTCCGGGGTTAAGGGAGCTGTCGAGGCTCCCCGCACTGCACGGTGCGCCCTTGTCGTGGGCCCTTGTGGGGGAAACCAACTCAGACATGCCGGTAAAAAGATAGGCGGGCGCGGGATTCAAGACGCCCTTCTTTTCCCTCTGGTGTCTATAAAGTCCTGATTTTCTTGTGTTTCCCACCTTGCTGGGAGTCCTTACAGACTCCACACAGGTTCTGCTCCGAGAAAGCCTTCCTGTTGTTTTTTGACTACCATTCTATGAAATTACCGATTAGCTCGGCTCCTAATATTTAAGACGCCCATGGGCGGTTGGCACCTTTCTCCGACAGAATGACTCCACACTTACGACTTACCCAACACACCGAGGCCGGGCGCGGGGCCTGCTGTACAGATTTCAGCCTAACCAACTGATCTTATAGTAAACACCCGATTCCGCAAACAAAAACGCCCCTAAACACCAGAAACCTCTGTGTTTTTATTCAAACCAAGGTACGTCTTAAATCCCGCGCCCGGCAAAAGATACATCCCGCTCTTTTCTTTCATTGGGCGTAGGGGACGGGTAAAGTCCCCTGGCCTATATATATATATATATATATTTATTTATTTATTTATTTATTTATATTTATATTTATATTTACCTCCCGCTCTCTCTCTGTCTCTCATTTCTTTCGTCGCTGTTTCGTTAGTCATAAGTCGCGGTTGCCTGGGATTTCGGATGTGCCCGCACAACCCCACTGCCCAAGTGGTAGTATTTCGGCATTGGCCGATTCACTTGGGTGTTGGGAAGAGCTTGCACGCACTGGCACTTATTTCGCCAATGCAGTAAATCGACCCCCCTGGCAGAGTAACGTTGATTGGTCGGGGCACTAGCGCATCACCTGGACAGGGTTGGCTGAGTGGTGTTGGACAAAATGAGATTCCACCCGTGGCTGATGTGCCGCAAAGCAGCTTGAATTGACTTGCGGGTGCCACGACATGAAAGGCCCAGTGGGTCCACGCAAGATGAACCGATCTGCAATCTCACGGTGGTTTTCCACATGGGCCCATTCTGACTACGTGTGATCGAGTGGAAAAACCCTACAAAATAATGCAACCATTCTGAACGCATCAGTACTTGTGGCATTTGTGCTCCCTCAGCAAGGAAGAAATGACAGCATCAGGCAACGCTCATGTAGCAGTGGCACGTAATAGCCTTTCAGTACAATCATGAACAAAGGCTACTTGCCCCTACCGCTCTTCTCACGCAAGTGCCTGGATTCGTTGGGGGGGCTTCTCGGCTCAAGCACCAAAGAACCCGAACACGATAGTCTAGTTGGGCGGCCTGACATTTTCGTGGCATTTGTCGGTACTGCCGTTGGCATTGTGGTTTTTGTCGCCATCGCCGTTTATAGTTACTTGCTTTGTGGTCTTCGTGATGCTAGTGGTGGTGCTGATGGCTGCGGCGGTTGTGTGTGAGGTTTATAGTCCGGGCTCTCGGTTGTGGCTGTTCTTATGCTGAGGCTAATCTTCTTGTTGAAGGCATTCTTTGAGCCAACCCAAGCCCGCAAAGGTAGTAGCCAGATTCGTAAGTATACCTAGCAGACCTAGCACGGTACTGTACTTCTTGGAGTTGAGTGCAAGACTTGTCCCGACTCATCCATCGGATTAGGTCTGTCGCAGTGGAACTTTGCCTGCGCATCTCGATCGCGTCCAGACCTTCTGGCAGGCCGGAGAAATTGGCGACCAACCATGACCTCTCATGACCGGGTTGGAACTTACAACTACCTAGCACTGCAGCGACGACAGGTGTGACAGTTTTTCCTTTTGACATTTCTTCATCTTGCTTGCTGTTTGCGTGCTCGCGACGTAGTAGACACGCTGTCTGCGCTGGGGCAGCCCATAGTTGGATGCCAGCACCTGCCGACGCACCGGAATCACGGGCTTCATTTTTGGAGCTCTACAGCTGAACGTCTGAAATTTTCTGAAAGGCCCCGGACTGGACATGTGTTGCTGATTTTTCCTGTCTGTAGTGGCGTGCCCATGCCGCAATGCGATGCTTCAAACTGAACAGCAACAGCTTATAGACTTTCGACTCACACTCCGCTGGCAAGCATCCGAGTGGCCTGGAAGGCATCTACTTCGTAATCTCCAGCTTGCTCGAGAAGAGCAAGAATCGCATCTGCTGGAAGGTTCCCTTGTGGATCCTGCTTCGAAACCACTGTCCAAAAGCAGCCAAGGGAATACCCAACATGCCTGTTTCTCCTGTCTGACTGGAGCCTGAAAAGCTCGGCACTGACACTTGCCCTTCAACCGTCTAGTTGAAAACTGCTTTGGCCAAAAGCACAGTTCCGTTGCGATGTTGTTCAAGGTGCAGCCAGAACTTAATGCTAGATGCTGCAACATCTGCCGCAGAATCGCACTTTGAAACTCTTTTTCTGGTCTAGGTCCCCAGTGTTCTGTATACGGGCTCCTGTCTGCAGGCTGCTACCAGGTCTTCCAGTATCACCATGCGAGGTTGGTACTCCATGATGTACTTCACGGCTGCAAAGAAGCGGTCGGGATTTGGGCCGTGTGTGCCAGCATTGGAGATGTACATGTCGGGCTGCACCTCTGCTCAGAGAACATGAAGTCGCAGCTTGGAGTTCTCTCTATTACTCTCTGTGCTGAGCGGCCTTTGGCATCGGCATCCACCGTCCGGACACCAGGCAATAGCAGCCGCGGTCTCGGCCAATCATGCTGCCAAACAAGCCTCTGGCCAGCGGGCTTCACAAAGGATGCTTCGGGTTAGTGCCATCGGCTTTGCTAAGGACTGTCTGCGCATCTTGCCCTGCCAGTACTGGGCGAGGGCACGTTCTGGTCTGGAGTCTGCCTGTGATGCCAGGAGCTGCTGACCTAGGTCTGAGGTTAGCCCAGCTTTGCACAGTGCGGCAGAGCTGTGCGGCCCTGGTGCTCGAGGGATCGGACTCACAGGCGAAAATGTGCCTGAACGGCACCCCCAGGTCGGAGAGCGCCTTGAGCACGGCAGCACGGCAGAGAGTGAGAAGGCCCTAAACCCTAAACCCTAAGCCCTAAACCCGAATCCCTAACCCCTAAACCCGAATCCCTAATCCCTAAACCCTTAACATTTTTTGAGGGTTTTTGCTACGGCTGCCACTTGCAGCTCGGCAGCCGAAACCGGGCCGACGCTGCCGCCGCAATCGGTCGCCAGCGCCAGCCTGAGACGGGGCATCGGCCGCGGTTGTAGTATATTATAGTATAGTATAGTATATTATAGTATAGTATAGTATAGTATGGCATATTATGCTATACTATAGAAAAAATGTTATAGTATAGTATGGTATACTATAGCAAAGTATACTATAGTATAGTATAGTACAGTATATTATAGTCTATTATATAGTATAGTATATTTCTAGAGGATGCCTGAAAGTTTAAGGGCCGAGGCGCTCCCTCGGAGGCAGCCGAGCACCAAGCAGCGGGAGCCAGGAGGCCTTGTCTTCGTCGGCTCCGCCTTTCGCTCTCTTGGAGGCTCCCAGGATCTCAGGGCCGGGTCGCTTCGAATGTGCCTTAGTTGCTGAGTTCATAAGCCCCCAAAAGAGTGTACACTTTCAGTTCTATAAGGGATCATATAATCCGCAAAAGTGTAAAGTGTACTCACTCAGCTATTGAGGTGCCATAAGAAAAAGGGGCTATGTACAGGCACGAGCTCTCCAGCCAGAAACGTCTGCGGCATAGAAGGGCGGGATATGGCAGGACGAGTTGCATCACATCCCTGTCGAAGGTATGCCTTTGCCTACATCACTGGGGGCTCAGCAAAGATTCCGGATGCAAACAGCCATGCTCATCCGTCGGGTCGACCTGGTGCGGACAAGCGAAACGAGCTGTGCCTTGGTGAGAACTTCCCCTAACCCCCCAGGTACCTACTTTATAGGGCCCTAGGGGCTCTAGTACCCTATATAATAGGTACCTGGGGGGTTAGGGTTCGAGCACTCGACCAGAAGACCGGGTCGGAGATAGAAGGGGTGCAGCTCACTGTGGCCTCAAGTAGCGTTCAGAGCGGAGCCGCCCGTTTCCATCCTTGTTCACAGAAGGCGCCGGGCCTAGCCGATCAACTTTGGCACCGTACGAGGCCTCGGATGGCATGCCGCACCACCTCCCTGGCTGGGAGATATTTGTAATACCTTTGCCACTGGCTCCTTGGCCGAAGCCGTAAAGCGATGGGGTTATTTGCTCAAGAGCATGAAAAAAACGGATGCTCTTCTAGGCCACCGGTTATCTTTGTCCCATGCACGCCGAGCTTGCCGCCAGATCTTTCACTTCACCCGTGTACTCACCAATTATGATGAAGGGTTCGATGTCCTGAAGCGAGGCAAGGAACATTAGATCCTTAGATGAACCGTGCTGATCGCAGCGGAGAGCGGGTATGACGAGCGACAGGCAAAGCAACGGCTGCCTCTCTCTGGTCTTAGACCAACTTCATCTCGATGCTAAGGAGTGTGTCGCCAGACTTTGGCGATCGCAAAAAGCAGCTACAAGTTCGGCACGAACCCTGACCAAATCTGACTCGGGAAGGCCTCTGCTGCGAAGAGCCCCAAACCTGCACCCGGCACCGTGGAAGGCCGCACAGCCAGCGCAGCCGGGCCTGTGGAGCAGTCGGCCCTCTGCCGACGACTTGGAAGACAACAACAATGAAAACAACGACGGTCGACTACATCACCACCACTGCGGTTGGTAGCTTGCGCGAGTGAGCTTCTATTTGCTTGGATCTCCTGATGCCTCAAAAAGTCTTGTGACATCTTGCGACCGCTTACATTGTGACATCGCAGATGTGCCATCCCTGTATCATCTGGTTGACGCGAACATCCTCCCTTCATCGCCGCTCCACTTTGCTTTGTTACTTGTCTCGCTTCTCGTACCTGCTGGCCTGCAGCACTCGCACTTTCCAGTGACTGCTCTTGGGCAAGTTTAATTTGATGGCGGCACATCCAGGCAAGTGCATCTTCCTGGTGATGCTACAGCCTTGACCTCGAGCGTTGAACGGACCTCCGTGTGATTCGCGATGGAAACAAAAGCTGTGCTTGCTCCTAGCATACAATATCAAAAAACTGTAGACAATATTTCTGAGAACTACAACGCCCAAAGAAGAATGGTCAGTCACACTTCGACGAATGCTGGGCATGACCCAGAACCCAGATCTAAGGTGCGAGGTGACAGGTGATGGAAGATGCGACAGAAAAAGCCGAAACTTGGGCAGGCAATCTCTTTGAACCTGCGCCATGCAGCTGTCTCGGACGACCTTCATCCCTGGCCAGCCTATCTCTGGAGCGCCAGGGACTTCTGCCAACATCGAAGCGCTGCTTCCAGAAGACATGTGCCATTCTTGGCGCCCAAGAGTGAGAAGCTTCTCCTTCACCCGTCAAAGTCGCAGGCTTACATGTCTTGATGCTCCAGCTTGCAAGAGAAGGATCTCCACACCACGTGTCAGGCATCTGTCGGACTTGGTTGATTGTGTTTGTTGGCAGCGGAGCCTACGGTTCCAGTGTAATATCAGCCTAGGGTTTCTTGTGATTTTCTCGCCCACGTGGCTACAGCACAAGTGCAGAAGTGCAGTCTGCAGCATTGCCGCATCAAGTTCACAGCACTCTCAGAAATGGCTGAACAGAGGCCTTTTTTACTTGAGCAAGAGGTCCGCCAATGCGGGCTTATGGCCCCCCTGTACAAGTCTCAGAACCTTGGTGAGGCGATCGTTCGGAAGGAACGCGCCAAGAGTAACAACCTGCGTCAAGCAACACTCCTGAGTTGAATATGAAGACTATGCAGACCGGCCCGGAGACAGCACGTGCCATCTGTGCCAGGAAGCAGGCTCTAACCAGTGGGTAACCGTGCGAGCCTGACAAGGCGAGGCATGTAGCAGTTCTTGAAACAGGAATCAGGACTTCCCTCCTGTTTAACTAATTTGCTTGCAATGTGAAGCCCGCCTGAATCGGGAAAGCGAACTCGGACTCCTGGGAGGAATTAATGACAAAAGGACTCTCGAGCTTGCAACTTGCAAGCTTCGTCCGGCTCCTTAAGCTCCGACTCCGTCACATGGACGACATCCTGCAAGCTGCACTCAGGTGACCCTGGAAGCAAAAGGTCGGACTTGATTTTGAAGGGTGCTGTCACTTTCTTTGTGGAAGAGCTGGTTGTCAAGCCTCCGCGAAAAAGTCTGAAAGCTACCGTTCTTGCAGCAGGTCAACCCTGCAAGTGCTCATGTCATGGGCCACAGGTGCGGACAGACATCGGTGTTCTTATGCTGGAATCCGCTGGAACTCCTCAAGTCGACATTGAGGCACAAAGTGCCTGGGAGGCCAGGTGTCGATCGCGCTCATCCACCGCACAGAAGTAGCCAGGCTCTTCCTGGGAAGTGCCTGACAGTCTAGGGCAGTCGTAGAGTACCTAGGGTCTGCTGTGTCGGTTTCTCCGGGTCCGGGTGGAAGCTCTCCGCAACCTGTGGTAAGTAGACTTCTCTTACCTCGTGCCCCTGCGAGGTTTGGAGCCAGGATTTTCAGGCCCGTGACCCTTCCCCTCCAACTCGAGCCTGAGGCGCTGAAGTAGGGTTCGCCTCACTCAGCCCAGAGCCCTCAGCATGTCTTAAAGTGGTGCCTCTGGAAGAAGATCTGAGGTCAAAGCACAGCAGAATGGCACATCGTAGCTCTCCGGGCCGCAACACTACGCAAGATCCTCAGGGCACATTGGGCCACATCGCTCGGGCAGGCGGGACGTGAGTTTAGATCCCCGCTTCACTCAGGGAGCGGCCGGGCACAAAGTTTTTGCCTCGGAGAAGCCGTGATCGCACCTCCTTCACATTCACTGCATGCGGAGGTTTTCGAATCGTACCGTGACACTGGACCTAGTATTCAGCACTAGCCCTAGCGAGTCCTGAGAGACTTCCATGGGAAATCCAAAGCCGCCTCGCCATGCCCTGAGATTTCATACATACAGGTTCACGACTTTCACAGCTTCTCAAGCAAGAACTTGCAATCTCGGCCCCAACGATTTCGGCCGTGCCTCTGCAGCAGACCAACCTTCTCCAGCTCAAGCCTGTCCAATACCTCAGCGACAATCTGCTGACAAGCCGGCATCAACTTGTCTAAACTCCGAATCACAATACTGCCGCAGAGGGGCACCCTGAAGCTGCCTCCGCACCATTAAGCGCTGGACCTGTTCCAAGCAGCTTCACTAAAATCAAAGCAAACAGGAATTACGCCTGCCTCGACAAACGAATGCATGGATGCAAAAAACAAGTGCCGTCGTCTGTCAGCTTTGCCGACTTTGCCATCTACTCTGTGCATAACATCTGCAACAGCTTGCAACACTTGCCTTGTACCGAAGGAAATCTTCTGCCCACGCCTGCACTTTGAAGGTGAACCCACTCACCAATTGGGTCTCAGTGAGGGCTGATGGTGCCTCATCGCCGGCTGTTGAAGGAGGTTGCACCTGTCCCGATGTACAACTTTGGCACTAGCACTTCTTCGGCCTCTGTGTTTCGGTCCTGTGCCAAAGCCGAACTGCAAAACTGCATGTATCTGCATTAGATTCTTTGGCCTTGCGACATTCGTGAAAATTGGTGTTCCCCTCTTACCGTCAAATGTTCCCCTTCTCGACATGCTCGCATCTGCTGCAAGTCTTGGCCTTCGCGCGCAGTCTTCTTGAAAGCGCGATCATGTCCTCGACGAGCCCCACATTGCGAGCAGGCACGTCGGAAGGGGAACGATGCACTGGGAATGCGATCCGGGGCCTGCTTTGAATTTGGGACTGCGCACAGCTTGCCACCACGAGGTCTGACAGTCGCTTGTTAAGGCATTGCATGGGGAGGATGACAGCTATGTGGCAAATGATGCCACATGAGATGCTGCAGCCGATTCCAGGCAGGTTGCTCGTTGCTGAAATCCACACCAAGTCAGGGTAAAACGACGCCGTCCGCGGTGAAGCATCTAACTTGATGACGCAAAGCGGCAAAGGAGAGTTTTAGTTGCAGCGAAGGACAAAGCAGGGGTGTGCACACAAGCATGATTGTCTGCTTGTTTGCCTATGTATGTATATGAGTATTTGCACATGGTAGTGGGCCTGTATGTGGATGGATGCACGTCGGTCTGTTGTAAGACCTTGCGCCATGATGGAATCCCCTGGTCTGGAAGCCCTCCGCACATTTCTCATTCCGGCGTGCTGTTGAACCAAGATCAGATCAATGCTGTCTCACTTGCGCAGCCATCCCAGAACGGTCGGCAGCCGCACTAGTAGACACATGCAAAAATGCAGAGCGTGGTAATGGCGAGAAACGGGTGCGAGCGCATCCTGCTCTCCAAATACTCACTCCAGCCAGCGGCTCGAGCGCTTCAAGCCCAGCTGTGTCTGTGCCCGATCTGACGACGGGGCTGGTTCAACCAACAGATATTGAAGTCCGAAGCATAAGTGCTCGAGACAAGACTAGGTTGAGACTCAGTTGAACTAGGAGGCGCCACGTAATCTTCTGCAGGGTGCTTCCTTTGGCACCGCACTCAACTTGCACACTCGTGGTGCACAGGTACAAAGAGTGGCTGCATTCGGAAAGACGGTCGCTTGAGGGGTACATAGCCGTCAAAACTGTGTTTGTGTGTGTCAACTAATTCCCCTGTGGATGCACAAACTTGTCACGTTGCCAGCGACGGCGGGGCTCCGAACTCGGCAAGCTCCACGATGTCCTGCAGAGCAAGTTGCTCGCGCTTTGCGCTGCCATTGGCTGCCATGCCTCACGTCCTTCCTAACAGCAGGTCCTCGGCCACCGAACCATTGGCTATCCCATCACCGCTGACCTACGATGTCGAATCTGAGGCTGGGAGAAGTGACGGCTCTCACAGGCATGGTGCTGAACTGTCGGCATCTGCATGAACCAGAACTCCCTCCACTCCGCCCAAGCTTCTTTTTCTACATCTGTCTCCTTTTGGGCCGTGGGCATAATTCACATATCGCCGCTCCCCATTCAGATGAGCGAACTCGTTTCACCCATGCCGGGAACTGTCGTGAAACCGCAAGCAGTCCAGACGCCGGAATCTGCTGTTCTGATGCTTCTAGCAATTGGGTTGAAGCTGTGGGGACATAGATTCGCCACCAAGCCGTGGGCTACCTGAATAACTATGAATAACTTGTCTCCACCGGGCTCCTCAGCATTCCCCCATCAGCTCGGCTGCAGCCTGCCCATGTTTTTTGCACATGCGACGCCCCTACACATTTCTTGCCTCCGGCCGACTCAAGGCAGATACAGCAAGTCCTGCCATTGCCTTCTCATGGACTGTGATGTTGGCCGCCGTTCCTCGTACAGGAGGGGCTCGTTTTCCACGTCGTCCGCATCTTTGTGATCCTGATGGCCACAGCCAGATTGTCACCCTCCAAAGAGGGCCACTGCCTGCCCCAAACCTATGCGGAGCGGCCTCGTGTTGCATGCTGGCGAATCTAGAGCCTCTTCAAGATCTGTTCGCTTTCCCTCTACTGTTTTGTTGGCGCCCCCTCCAGTCAGGACGCCTCGTGCGCTTCATGCCATTTCGCGGCGTTCTTGACCCGTGTGCACTGGTTGGTCTTTGCCTGTTGCTCTCCCTGTCTTTCTTTCTTTCTTTCTCTGGCCAGGGCTTTGGTCTCACTTGCTTGCAGCAGTGCAGAGTACGCCCCG